TCCAAACTCTAAGGTCAAATACCCTATCAGTAACTACATGTCCAATCATAGGTTGTCAGAATAATATATTGCATCTGTTAATCAATTGTCTAGTATATTTGTTCCTAACAATGTGCAGGATGCTTTGGATGATCCAAATTGGAAGAAAGTCATGAATGTAGAAATGAAGGCCTTACAAAAAAAACTCAACGTGGGACCTGGTTCCTTTACCAACCAGGAAGAAACCAATTGGATGCAAATGGGTGTTTACTGTGAAGCTTAAAGCAGATGGAAGCCTTGACAGATATAAAGCCAGAGTATTTGCTAAGGATACGCACAAAAATACGGGGTTGATTACCAAGATACATTTGCACCAGTAGCAAAACTGAACACAATTCGTATTCTGATTTCTATAGCAGCTAACAAGGACTGGCCACTCAAGCAGTTTGATGTAAAGAATGCATTTTTAAATGGAGACTTAGAAGAAGAAGTATATATGGAAATTCCACCAGGCGCCAAACATGCCAACTTGAAGGGAAATGAAGTGTGTAGATTAAAAAAACACTATACGGCCTCAAGCAATCACCTAGAGCTTGGTTTGGCAGGTTCTCTCTAGTCATGAAGAAGTTTGGATACAAACAAAGTAATGCAGACCACACCCTATTCATAAAACATAATGGAGGAAAGGTAACAGTGTTAATAGTGTATGTTGATGATATGATTTTGACTGATGATGATTTATTTGAAATGGAGTTATTGGAAAGACATTTAGCAAATGAGTTTGAAATGAAAGATCTAGGATCATTAAAGTACTTTCTTGGAGTTGAAATTGCTAGATCAAATCAGGGAACTTTTTTGTCACAAAAAAGTACATTTTAGATCTACTTGCAGAAACAGGAATGACAACATGTAAACCAGCAGAAACACCAATTGAAATGAATCATGTATTGGGTTTATATCCTGATCAAGTACAGACTGATGTTGGCAGATATCAAAGGCTAGTAGGAAGGCTAATTTATTTATCACATACTAGGCCAGACATTGCTTATGCAGTTAGTGTTGTGAGCAGATTTATGCACAATCCAAGTGAGGATCACATGGCTGCTGTGTATCGAATATTGAGGTATTTAAAAGGGTGTCCAGGGAAAGGTCTGCTTTACTCAAAAAATAATAGTCCCGGAATTAAAGGCTACATATATTCAGATTGGGCTGGAGATAAAACTATCAGACAGTCAACTTCGGGATATTTTACTTTTGTTGAAGGCAATCTAGTTACTTGGAAGAGTAAGAAGCAGAAAGTTGTGGCTAGATCGAGTGCAGAAGCAGAGTTTAGAGGAATGGCACATGGAGTGTATGAATTGTTGTGGATTAAGAACATCCTACAAGACTTAGGAACCTGCTACAATCAGCCTATGGAGTTACATTGTGATAATAAAGCTGCTATTGAAATTGTTCATAATCCAGTTCAACATGATAGAACCAAGCATGTAGAAGTGGATATACATTTTATCAAGGAAAAGCTAGATCAAAAAATTATTCAATTTTCCTACATCAAATCTGAAGATCAGTTAGCCGACATCTTGACAAAGGCTGTATCAGGAAAAGTGTTTGAAGAAGCAATTAACAAGTTGAGCATGATTGATATCTATGCATCAACTTGAGGGGGAGTGTTGAAATGAGATAATATTTGCTGAGTTGTATAGTTGTTGGAATTTTAATCATTGATTATACAATTACATAATCATAGGAGATTTGTATTAAATAAATTAATTTTCTTATTTGCAGTTGATTGACATAATCACAGGAGTTTTGTATTAAATAGAAATAGTAACAGGTTATTTCATTTCCTTATTCATAGCTGATTGACAGTTAATTTGTAATGGACCTAGAGTCCTCATTTTATGTATATAATTACCCCAGTAGAGAAAGAATAATCACACAGAAATATTCATAATATGGCACCATTGTTTTGACAATATAAATTGAATTATGAATATTTATGGAATTATTAGTGTTGTTGATTGTATATTCTGTTTGAATAAATTTGTGTTGTCTTATTTTTTTTAAACAGGCTAAACAATACTTTTATTTTTTGTAAATAAGTCAGACCACAGGCCGGTAATTATATTTATAACAGGTAACAGACTTGATCAGACTAACACATTTAAATAAAAGCTTAATCTTTTAAAATCAAAACTCAGTTTGCCTCGACCCGTTAACACCTGCTTGTAACCTTGTAAAACAACACAAAATTTCAGCGGATGCCACTCTCCTTTTTGGCACAAACAAGGGCATACCACGAATAAGAAGGTTAGAAACTCTTTTGACACCTAAAGTCACGTAGTAATGAGGAATTGACTAAAAGCGTAGCACTTTTTTTTTTTCTCGAAAATACAGCGTCATAGCACTTTGACACAATGCCTTTAAGGGCATTTGGTACAGGAAATTTTTTTTTGTCCGAAAATTTCAATTTTTATAAATATAATTTTTACATTTAATTTGTGATAATATCTGAAAATTAAAAATTTAAAAAAATTCAGTTTCCCGAGAATCTTCATGAATCTCACGTACCAAACGGGTCCTTAACGCATATGTTGTAGAGCTCGTAGGAAACTCATTGATATTGGAAAGGTCTCGCTGATTCTCTATTGTGTAAAATAATAGTAATAATGGTGAAATAATTTTAAAAGATAATGCAAATAATATATTAATTGCGAACTCTGATATATCTACAATTGATTTTAAATGTATATCTTACAATTCATGTTTTCGAAATTGCATCAGTTGCGACATGAGTTTGGATCGTGACAAAAGAAATAAAGAAGAGGATGGAGGAAGACTAAGAAAATAAAAGAATACGTGTTTTTCTATTTTCCTTTTTATGTGTATAAAATTTTATCATGAAGTTTAATGACTAATAAAAAATAAGAGTTTTGGTGATGTCGTTTGAATTATCTTTATCTTGTTCCTAAGTTATTTTAAAAATCAGACAGAGTATAATTTTTTATATTATATTGTATTTTTTTAATAAATCAAATTCATCTTTAAAATTTAAATTGATATCTACTTTCTCTAACTCTAAAGGACCGGATTGATATTAAAAAAGTTTAGCATAGTTAATTAATGTCATCTATCACCTATATTTTATAAAATGTATGTGCACTCAAAATTTTCTTTTGATTTCATACTTTATATATATATATATATATATATATATATATGGGAAAAAAGTTTCCGATGTTACTTTAGATAACTTTGTCTAATGTTCATCGAAACGACGTCGTTTTGGGGTTAAAAAATTAGAATGATAAAGACCATTATAACCCTGAAATAAATTAAAATTACAAAAGACACCATGATTTCCGTCCCAAAACGACGTCGTTTCGATGAACTTTAGGTAAAGTTATCTAAAGTAACTTTAGAAAAAACAAACCCTATATATATATATATATATATATATATATATATATATATATGGGTTTTATAAGAGTTATGTTGTAGGAAAAGTGATTGTGTAATGTTATAGAGATTCGTTTTGCGTGCCTTAATTTTTTATTTATTTTTTTGTTTTAAAAAGTGTGAGCCCCACAAAATGTTGTGAGTGTAGGAAAGTTTGTTGTGTTATGTTAAAGGATAAAACGAAAACCCTATATATATATATATATTATTTAAATTTTAACGGATAGGATATTGTAACAACTAATTAGTGTTACTACTAATCAATTTCACCGTTAGATCGATTATGTTGATCCAACAGTTATATTTATTTCCATCTTTGTATGGTTATGATTCTCCATATTTAATATGAAAGCATTAAATATTGGAAATAATAACCATACAAAGGTGAAAATAAATATAAAGTATTAAATATTAGAAATCATAACCATACAAAGATTAAAATAAATATAACCGTTGGATCAACATAATCGATCTAACGATGAAATTGATTGGTAGTAACACTAATTGGATGTTACAATATCCTTCCTTAAATTGGTTGTTACAATATCCTACATTGAAACCTTAAATTACTTTGGGGCTTTTGAAAAATAAGTTTTTTGTGATCTATTGATACGAAAATTGTTTGAAATAATTTCCTATATGGAAGTAATTTCGTTCATGAATGTATTGTTACGAAACATATGGTCCATATTATGAAAGTTTCAATCTTTCTTTAAATCGATCTTGTTTCATTGACGTAAAATGAAAATTGGTTTGTGGGATTTTTGCTCTCTTGTTGTTTTCCCATTGTTTTATGTTATTTTTAATACAAAAATCACACATTTTTGTGCCAAGAGGAATCGTGACTCATAACCTGAAGAATCATTTTTTTAAACTTTCAAAAGCTATAAAAAAATCGCTAAAAAATATGCTATTTTTGAGACGGGATGTATTATATTAGAATTTTGTTGCGTTATTGTTTTTGGGTTGTTTTGTGATGAAAATTGCTCAAAAATATGTTATTTTTAAGCTTTGATGAAGCTCCCATAACGTAACCTGATTTCGAGCGAGTCAACCCGCAAAAGGAAAGGAAGAAAAAGATACTGTAATATAGAAATATCAAAAAATTCTAGGGATTAAGATGAGATTGTGAGAGAGACATTCTATTTATATTTTTCACTAGAAAATCTCACGAAATTCGTACCAATAGAAAATCCACTAAACTTTTTAGATTTTTGAAATACTACAAGATTGTTTTGACTTTGTTTAAAATTCTAATTGAATTCCATCAGAGTTGGATGGACACTAAAATAATTTTTAAAATTACTATTTTTCAATCTTTTAAAATCATAATTGAATATCAATGAATTTTTTTTTTTGTCTAAAAATAATCAATTCAAATCCTTTAAAATCTGATCCAATTAACTTAACCTATTAAAAAAAAATATTAGGAACTGAAATGATACGTGTAGCTTCCAATGAAAGACGACCACGTAAGAACCAAGGTTTGACATCCTGTTGGGCAATCTTGTTTCATTGGAGATTTCAACTTCCCATATTTAATTCTCAACGCTCATCACCGATTCTCTCTTTGATTCACCTTCTTCTTCTTTTCCATCTGCATCTTCTTATTCTTCTTCTTCTCTTCACAACCTAATCACTTCTTTAACTTTTTCTTCCATCCCTCTTTGACGATGATGATTGGGCTTAACCACAAACCCCTTTTGCATCTTTCTCTTCTACTTGTGTTGCTGTTTTTTTCTTCGACTGAATCCCTCAGATTCGAGCTCCAATCTGGTCACACCAAATGCATCTCAGAAGACATCAAGAGCAATTCCATGACAGTGGGAAAGTACTCCATCGTCAATCCCAACGAGGGTCACCCTTTGCCTGATTCACACAGAGTCACCGTTCGGGTATATTCCCATTGCAATTCAATAAAAAAAGAAAAAAAAAGGACCAAACTTTTTCGCGACCCGGATTGAATCTGTGTGTTTTGAATCAAGTTTGATGGTTTTTTCTTAATGGGTAATCATGTGTTTGATTTTTTTTTTTTTTGTCAGGTGACTTCGTCTTATGGGAACAACTATCACTATGGGGATCGCGTTCAATCGGGTCAATTTGCATTTGCAGCAGCGGAGGCTGGAGACTACATGACTTGTTTCTGGTCTGTGGATAACAACCCTCAGATAACTATGACTATAGATTTCGATTGGAAGACGGGTGTTGCAGCCAAGGATTGGTCTAATGTTGCTAAGAAAGGACAAGTTGATGTGAGTCACTACTATGCATTACTTTAACACTCTATATGATATATCCCACAATTAATCTGGTATTGAGTACAGTGTTGTTTCCTTGGTGCCCTCTGGATATTTTAATAGGTTCAATCTAGTTTGCTGCTTATTTATTTTTTTATTTTTTTATTTTTTTAGTCTGTGTTTTCCAAGATCTTTTATATAGGTTACCTCAATTAGTTTGGGATATAAGGTGATGGTGATATTGATGCTGATGTTGTTTATTCCAAGATTGACTTGGTTGCGTTTCAAGAAATAGTTATCTTAGGAGAGCTGATTTCGACTCAACTCAGTATTACTGTGGTATTTGTGGCTATTTCAAGATTATCTGAGGCTAGAATATCTTACTGTGTACTTGATCTGGCTCTGGATGATTATATTAGGGGTATGCTCGGATTTAGCATATGTGCTTATGTGAAAATTCAAATGAATGAACAAGTAGCTCAAGTAGTTTTGAAATATCAAGTTTTGCTTCTAATTTGGCGCTCGTGATTGTGTTACTCTCATGCGGCCAAAGAAATTTGTTAGGAAGTCACCTATCATCAAGGTGTATACTAGGAGGGGCCGTAGGGGATTAGAATCCTAGGCAAGGCAAGGAATGTATGTGATTAATTTTAGGTGTGAAAACTCTTTGTAACAGAATTGTATCAGAAAAATAAAAAGGGATGAGGGGAGTGAAGGAAGGCAATCACGAATTATTTTGAAATTGGGAGAAATAAGGCCTCTTGAATGCCCATGCTATATGTTTTCTTTCTTTTTTTGTTGTACACAGAGTCACAGACCATGCCTATGTGTGATCCCTCTGATACAGTAGCTATAGGTTCAATATTATACAGTTTCTTCTCTTAATTTCGTGTGATTAAACCCAGTTCCTAGGTTATTCTCTAATATTATACAGATATTAGAGAATTTCTCTTAATTAAGGATTTCAAATTCATGTTTTGGGTATGGTGCATACTCTCCTAGAGATGTGAATATCTAGCTATAGGTGCAATATTATACAGTTTCTTCTCTTAATTTCGTGTGATTAAACCTAGTTCTATCAGCTGGTATCATGTAGGAGTTGTGGGTATGGTAGCTACAAGAATGGACACTAGATTAAATAAAGTTGAAATTAGATTGAAGGAGATGTCAAAGAAGTTTGGGAAAATAGATCTTAAGATGGAAGCAATTTCATAGTTCATGGAAGGAAAGGAAGCTAGGTTTGATGCAATTAAGGGGCACGTGAAATAGATCAAGCAATTTATGATGGGAAAGCTAGAGGAAAGGTAGCGACAACATCACACGTTTTTTCTGCGATGTCCTTAGAAGATACTCCGATGAAATAAGAGATTTGTGTGGAGCTGGAGCTAGCTGAGGGCTCAAATGCCGAGAGTAAGGATGAATCTCCCCGAACTGACATCGTTGGGGATTTTTTAGAGATATTAGAGAAGAAGGACGTGTTTGAAAAAGAAGAGATTGAAACCAAGAAGGGGACAAAAACTAAAAAGGAGATCGTAGCGGTAGATGGAAACCATCCACTAAGTCATGTGATGAAGGAGCAGAAGAAAGAGGAGTTCGCGATGAGAGAGCAAGGAGAAGAGCTTGTGATTGTGATGGAGATATCCGAGCCTCCATAGAACTGCTAAACCCAGATGCTTGTGTGGCGGATTATGAGATCCCTACGGGGGAGTGCAAGCAAAGAGGGTTGTCATACCACAACCTCACATCTGAAGCAGGGGAAAGAAGGAGGAGGGACCTAAGTCAAGGATGGAATTACATAAATTGGATCAATATGTTGACTTGATAGGTCAGGTCTAAATTACTATTGATTGGTTGCAATCCCAACTCAGGGAGGGACACTGGTTCCTTTATCTCTGCTTGGTGTGAATATTATGCTTGTAAGCCCATGATTGTGTCTAAACTGATTGGACCTAAAATACTAGGTTCCTATCCATCAAACAAGGAGGCCTTTCTTCCGTCATCTACCTCTTGGACAACTACGTCCATAAATCAGGTTTGGATAATCGTTTGTTGTCTTTGAATTCTCATAGGTTGTTTGATTTCAATCAGCCGAGGGAGAAAATGGAAGGGGATGAATGTACTATTCTGTGGACACTAAGACATGAGGCCCTACAATCCTCAGTCGACTAGCTCTGATGTGTTGTTCTACGACACTGATTGCATGTGGAATTCCCGAGCCTGCTACCAGTCTTGCATTGAATCCCACAGAGGACCCAATGTTGATGTATCAAAACCTTACTGGCTGTTCAACTTGGATTTTTTGAGTACATTCATGACTCCCTATTTGGGCATTTTGAGTCAATGCCTGTGATAATTTTGCGTGGGAAGTCGACTGGTGCTTCTAGGTTCTTCTAGTTGAATGCACACATGGATGAGTATGGGTTTTCACATTGCAACCATGAGAAGAATTTGCAGGAGCAATAGCAAGCGAAGAGTAACCTGGGAGATGATTGTGGTGCTCCTGGATCTGTTGGTGTTAGCACAATAAGTTGTACTTGTAGGGATTTACTGTTGTTAAGATCGTCCATGACCCCTAGATCATAGTCAAGCCGTGTTACAGTTCCAAGGTAGATCTCACCTTCTGGGACTGACTCAGTGGCCATGAAAGGCAGAAAGAGAGGGGTTGCTAAGCTTGGTCAGAAGCAACCTGTGTCTAGGAAATTCGTTGACAAGGCATAGATGGACTTGTAGATTTGAAGTGCATTCATTGAATAATAGTTACATGAAGGAAAGGGCAATGGCATACCGGTGGAAGTTATTTTGCATCATGCATAAGTTGGTCCTTACATTTTAAGCAATTGGACCTTGGGGGAGGGTTTTCGCTGCCTTACCCTCACCTTGAGGAAACATAGGCGGGAAAACTCGTTGTAACAGAATTGTATCAGAAAACATAAGAATAAATGAGGGAAGTGAAGGAAGCAAACAAGAATTATTTTGAACAGAGAGTTGGGAAACACAGGGCCTCTGCCCATGCTTAATTTCATGTGATTAAACCCAGTTCTATCAAAATCAAAGGTTGCACTTTAATCCATCCCCTAGCTTATGCTGCATGTACTTGTATGAAGTGAATGTATGACCTCTACTAGCTGATGCTCAATCTGATTGGTGAAGTAGTGTAGTAACCGGTTAGATAGGTAGATATCTGATTATGGACTAGAGTGTTACAGATTTGCAGCCTTACTGGTGAATTTCTAATCATGGTAAGCTTATACGGATGTTGTATTTCTAATCATGGCAAGTTTCTGTCTCTATGATATGTATATGAATGTGACCGCATATCATCCTTGCATATGTCATTTTCCCTGTACTTTTGCTTTCCAATTATTTGATATCCGTAAGTGGCAGTGATCTCTTTTGTTGACTTATTTTTCTATTGACAAGTTGGCTTTAATGATTACTAACCTCCAAATATTTATGTATTATTCCTCCCTTGTATCTCTTATGTGGATTATTTTGCAATCCCGTGGATATGACCAAAATTTATGCCCTATTCTCGAGCAAATCTGGACCTACTCAAAGCCTCCCTGTCCCACGCATTTGTCGTTGGAGGCATAAACCAACACATAACTCCATGGTTTATCAATTAGTTTTCAAAAGTTGTACTCTCTGCTGACTTGATGTTTCATAAAAGAAAACTTTTTACACAGATTTCATTCACATGTACCAGGTAATGGAGCTAGAGCTGAAGAAGTTGTATGAAACTGTGACTTCCATTCATGACGAGATGTTTTATCTTCGTGAAAGGTAAGCATTCGCCTGTGAATCCTTCATTCCATACATTGACATTGGATATTTTAACAAGCATTGTTCTTATTTTTGGTAAATTCTTAATTCAATACACTGACCTAGGATATGTTAACATGCATTATTCTTTTGTTTACTTTTTTTTTTTTTTTTCCAGAGAAGAAGAAATGCAGGAGCTCAACAGAGCAACCAATACCAGAATGTTCTGGTTGAGTTTGCTTTCGCTTTTTGTATGCTTATCAGTAGCAGGGATGCAACTGTGGCACTTGAAGTCCTTCTTCGAGAAAAAGAAGCTCATTTAAAATTTTGTAGTAGTTGTTTCATTTTTCTTATGCGTTCTTGTAAAATATACCGGAATTAATTTATCCAGAGTATACGCATAATATTAGTCTGATGATTTTTTTTTAAGAAATCAATTAAGCAAGCAACGTCCCTTGATAGACACCAACTATGAACACAATGGTCGGTAGCTTGTAAAATATAAAAACAAAGCTCACGTCAGTAGTAGGATTGGAAGTGATTTAACTTGCAAGTTATTTCTGACATGGTTCATTAATAGTTGAATAAGCTGAGCTTACATGCTAACAATTTGAAGTTGAGCTAAAGATTTTGGTTTATACTTTCCTATAGTCAACTTATTAATTCGTGAGCTGGTCTGAATATATATATATATATATATATATATATATATATATATATGGACTTATCATTTCTTAAGTTGTTTGAGATAATTTTATCTCTAGTTACTAAATCATAATTGTGCAAAGATGAATCAATGGTGATAAAGGAAGAGAGAGAAAAAGAGAATTATAATTATTTAAATGTGAATCAATTAATATAAGAAAAGAAATAAACAAAACGACGTAGTTTTGGAGTAGTCGGAGATAAACTTATCTAAGTTGTCAGAAAAATATTTTTTCCTCTCTCTCTAGATATATATATATATAGACACACTCGCACACACTTATCAATAACTTGTCAAGCTAAAGGTCACTTCCATTGCCTTGATCACCCTACAAATTATGTGGAATGTAGGTATTTTTCAAAATTGTGTTTATATATGATCATGTATATTTCTCGAGATATAGGAAATGAACAAGGTTTGTATTTCGCCTGAAAAGGGGGAAGGGGGAGGCATTGTTTTACAACGAAAACTTTGGAGCAAAATAATGGATTAAATTAGTTTGTTGTATATAAATATAAGATTTAATGTTTCTCAAGTTATAACTGATAAAATTATCTCTTACGTATATAAAAAAAATATAAAATTCTTGTTTTCTCTTCTTTATTTTTTTTCTCACGTGGCTCCATACAGACTCTACACAACTTTATGTATATATAAAATATAATTCTATCTGACTATCTCCTTAAAAAAACATTAATCCCTTAAATATAACATGCTTATAAAACAAAGAGAATGTAGGGAACTTTTATATCAATTTCTCTTCTTTTTGTTCTATTTTCGCTTCTAGGCAGAGGTGGAACTGGAGCTGGCGACTGTTTGCTCATGATGGTACGTAGCCCATTAAAGACATCATTTTTTTTTCGCAGCAGATAACTACATTCACGTGAAACCAGAAAAAAAGGAACTCCTATGAAAAGGCAATTCCAAGAAAGATGGCACCATTTACACCACAGGAATTGGTACAACATAATACAAAAAAGGAAACTATTATTGATTTTTTAAACGAAAGATGAAACATAAAACAGCGGATAGCATATGTGGTGGCCTACTTCCTCAATTTGTTTGTACACTTAAAACGCATTACACTAAAGCAACAACTTGAATATGCTCCCTTGAATGGAACGGGAGCTTTAATGAGATAAAAAGCAATGGAGCGTAGAAACCAGAAAATGGCAATCTACATTGCCTGTTCTGTTCATTAATCCACACAGTTGAAAATAAGTATTGACTTTGCAGGTTTTCCAGTTAGCTCTACCAATCCATAAACCCAGCAGCAATAGGGAAGGCAAACCGCCTGAATGGTAATGCCAAGTAAATCATCTGAATTTCTGAACATATTAATGTTCGGAAAATATTTATGAAGTGAACAAGTGCCAGTGATGATCTGAGGGTAAATTTTCCTTGATCTTTTCAAGCCGTTTAAGGATCTCTATGAAGGAAGGTCTTTGATTCATGTCAGCAGCCCAACACTGCTCCGTTAACCTAAGAACATGCAAGGCCATAGTCTATAAGATTACTTATATGATTAAAGCCAAAAGCTGCTCTATTAAAATTTGATGTAAACGAAATAAGTATTTACTAGCTATAACTTCTAATAGCCTAATTCACAAAGCATTCCAGAACCTCTAATTAAATGGTCACCAAAAAAGAGTTTATATCATATTTATGCTAGTCACACTTGGGGCTTGTGAAATGGAATTTCTAAGTAGCAAGGGTAAGCATATAGGTTCTCAATGTTCTTCCATGTACAGTGGAGGGTAAAATCACAGTCATTATTAACCATGCCTCTTTCTTTTCTTTTCTTTTTTTACAAACTGTCATAATAAATCAGACTATCAGAGATTAAAGTACTTCCCGCACAAAGTAAGATTATAGATGCTGGATCAATGTAAAGTATATGAGGGATAACAAATGAATATGTCTTTCATAATTTCGTGCAATATACAATATTAAGCCCAGTAATGGTGCATCATATGCCTTGAATATCACAGAATATTTAAACACACCAAAGCACATGCAGTTGAAAATCTCAAATCAAATCAAACTGAGTTTTTAACAAGGCAAAGAGATGAAATCAATCCTAAGTCAGATGTTGAACAAATAGGTCAGACTTAAAATGTGGAGGATATGATTAGTTATAGGGCTGTATAAACTAAAGTAATATCTTCTCCATTGGAAGCACTTTGGTAAGTACTCATATAAGACCTAGCTAAGTAGGTTGACTTCTCACTACCATTTTTAAGACAACTCCTTTTTCATACAACTCTGGAAGTGCAATTAAACCACATTATCTGCATAAGTTTAAGCCAGAAAACATATAGCTTCCATTTGAGTATTTTTAATTTAATAATGTAAAGGACCTAATCTCTTGAAAGCTTTAGCTATTAGGTGCAAGCCTTAAAGTGATTTCTATTCCTCAAATATGGCCGGTCATGTGAAAGCCTTTTGGGTTTGAAGTATGGACCGAACATAGACCCCACCACTTGGCCAAAGAGACTTGATACCATGACAAGAACTAAATCTTGTAGGTCGTAATAGAGTGCTAGGAAATTGGAACAAAGAAATATATCATAAATGACTTACTCTTGCAATTCAGGGATGTAACCCTTTGCCCGAAAACTAGGCCTGAATCCTTCAGCTGCGTGTTTTGCTCCATCATAAGGTTCATAACTTGCAAAAGGTGGTTCACCTTCAAGCATCTGCATGAGATGAAGATATTATGAATTACAACTAGCTTCAAATTGTATCACATAAAACTCTTATACTTGAGCAGCAGAATTACCTCATACAAAATCATTGCAAAGGAGTACACATCAACCTTCTTATCATATCTCCGGTGTTTGAAAACTTCAGGAGCCATATAGCGGTCTTTTTTATCCCCGAGAAGAGGGAAATTAAATTAAGTTTTGCATAAGAATAACAATTAATGTTTTAAAAGAACTTCTAAGAATACTCACAGCTCCCAGTTTCACCAGTCATCTTGTATACATCATGAGAACTCTGGACTGTGATAAGCTTACTCAATCCAAAATCTCCAACTTTTAAATGGTCAGCACTAGAATTGACTAAAAGAACATTCCTGAAATTTTAGAAAATAAATTTCAACGTATATACATAGACTTCTAAATTCTAGATGCATGTTCTAGATGACAAAAATTGTCAATCTAGGATAAAAGCAAAATTTGCTTCAATTTTTATAAATAATACATCATGACATACTGTCTGTTGCAGGCCATCCATATGAAGATAACATATTCATATATAGGTTGCAAATAACCAACTTACCTTGGCTTTAGGTCTCGATGAATAATAACATTTGGCTCATTGTGAAGATAAGCCATTCCTCTACAAACAATATTCACAAAATATAGATTAGCATCGTGATTAGATTAAGCGAAGTTGAATGTTTGCAAATGCTTCTAGGCTCCTAATGCTATTATCCCAGCATTGATAAAAGACAGGATGCTCTGAAATTGGCTAGTTATACACTGGTCATAGTATTCAGGGCATCTTCCTATTCCCCACCTCTTCAAAAAGATCTACTTGGTTTACTTAACTGCAATTCAGTAACTGAAAAGAAATTTCTACACGATGTTGTTTGGTTGCTTGGTTCACTTCTTTTTAAACAAATGATACATTCTGTTAGCGTTTCCTGTACTACTCAAATACAAAGCAAAGATTACTTGGCAGGAGTATTCGCTTGAAAGATCTCAGTGGAGACTTCAACACTTACCAATAGAACATCCCTTCCTCTTTTCCCCTCCCCCATCCCCAGACCCTCTAGAAGGGTCTAGTGCAGACTACGAAAAAAAAAGTTGATTATGATAAAAAAAAAATTAAGGTCCGTATGTCTTAACAGGGTTACTGCCTTGCAATTTCTTTCAGGAACCAGTATTTCAATGTATTCTTCACAGCATATCCATAAATCCTTAGGAGGAAATTCTATCTCATAGTCAGAAATCAAGTTACAGATCATACTTCATGGATAGCAGTGAGTGAGTAGTGAACAGCATAAGTAAAAGGTTGGACGTATTCGCTTTTATAGGATTCCAACTTCCAAGAGCTTGGTAACTTTAAAATGACTTTTTGGGAATTTTTTGAGCAGTAAATTTACCCTCCTCTTGAAATTTTTTCAATCACTCCATTTAAGCAGAGCATCAAAAGAAGGAAAAAGTGTAAGCTTTGTTGGAAGAATGCTCTCCTTGTGGAGCTGGTGTGGCTGGAGCACAATGTCACAGTTTTTCAATAAACAATAGAGGTTTGGCGGCCACTTATATAACAGATCATGGAGCTAATTAGTTCTTATCTGGCTTCCTTTGTTTTGTTGTATTTTAATTGTTAATAATTTCCTCCTATCCTCCTTTTATGAAATTCTCTTTTATTCTTGTTGAAATTATAGGAATTTAAGTAGGAAGGAAGAAAAGAGAATAAAAACTGAATAATCTGAAATTTATATTGATTTGATATGAAAGGTGTGTTATGATACGATACAAAAGACAAAGCACTAAGCTCTATTTATTCTAATAGAAGACTCCTAATCCTAATTAAATAAGAAAACAAATCATGAAAAATATGGATTCATTGAAACCAAGCCTATGGGATAATCTAAAATACTCTAAATTACTCTAAGATACAATCAAGATATTATGAGATATTTTTCAAACATTCTAACAGTTCTTAATAATTTGTTTTAATAATATTAAAAATTAGAAAGGAAAAGGAAGGTAAGGCACCATACCTAGCAATATCCATCGAAAAGTTTATAGCTGCTGAAGGACTAAGTGAACCTTTTTCTTTTAGGTATTGATGAAGATCACCCTATAAAGGAATGTAATAGAAGTTTAATTTTAAAGCATATATTTACCAGATAAAAAACTAGGTGTGGAGTGCTCAATTGGAAGGAATTACACTTAATTTACATACCCCTCTTAGATACTCAGTAATTAACATAAGGGGCTTCCTGTCAGTAACAGCTCCAAGAAACTGAACTATGTTGGGGTGTCGAAGCTTCACTAGCAAATTGACCTCATGCCTGAAGTCCTGACTGTATTAAAAATTAACACACAAAATAAACAGAGAGAAAGAAGATAAGTCGCTGACACACGAGATAGCAGAAAAACACGGGATGGAGAAAATATGGTTTATTGCTGCAAAACCAGCTTAATCACAAGGCTGTACGTGACCGGTGACTCCCTCCCCAACCACCTTCCTTCCTTTAGTTTTCATTAGTCATTATAAACAAACATAACTACACATCCAAATATCCTTTTGAATCATTTGGCCCTAAAGAGGAAGTAGGTTAAATCTGAACAGAATACCTTCAGCAAAAAATGTTCAATTACTTGTTGAAATGTTTCCCTATAGCCCCATGCAAGTAAGACTTGACAGAGGACATGTAAAAGCAAGTCATCCGACATTAGTTTTAAAAGATTCATCAGCAACATGCAATCCGAAGACATTAACATCACAAATAATCACAAACCAGTAGCAAACCAAATTGAACACAAATTCTAGAGATGAAAGAAAGTTATCTCACATCACCATTCTATCTTCTGAAAGAGATGGAAGAATGCGTTTGACAGCAACTGGTGTTCCACGCCAATGGGCTTTTAAAATCTCACCAAAAGATCCCTGCATGAAACTTACATCATTGATAAGACCAAATCTGGTATGCAAACTTAGTTTATCAGTAGCTTATATGCAAAGTAAAAGTGAAATGATACACCTAGCAAAGCAACAGCAAGAAACACTACGTGAATACAACTTAGAAAAATAATAATAGTTAAAACTAGTGAAAAAATGAACAAAAGTAAAATTGCAAGAGAAAAAAACACTACGTGCATTAAAAAAATAAAAAATAAAAAATTAAGCTAGCAAAAATAAACAAAATTAAGAAAACGCAGAAGAAGCAACACCTTTCCAATACGCGCTGAATTAGAGAAGTCCAACTCAGTAGGTTCTACTTCCCAATCACACTTGTTCGGCAACGGCGGCGGAACAGGCTTCGGTTCAAAATGGCTTCCATTTTGGCCCTGTCTCATCATTCAACTTCCCTTATCATTCACCGAAGACAAAATAGAAAAAGAGAGAGCGAGAGAGAGCGTAGCAAACTCACATAAGACAAGCCTCCATGCGATTTCAAAAGCTCGATCACTTCAGTCTTTTTAGCTCCCTCTGCATCAGCCAGAGGCTATACAAAAAATAAAAAATAATAAAACCATAAAACCATAAACTAAAACCTAAATTTCACTTCGCAATCAAGCAAGCACACACGGAAAGAAAGAGATAACAGAAGAATTAGAATCAGTGAATCACAGTGTTTTTCCAACGATCCTGCGCGTTGACATCAGCGCCGAATTCAATCAAGCATTTGGCGACGTCGATCCAGCCGTGTAGGGAGGCCACGTGGAGCGGCGTACGGTTGTCATAATCTCCAGCCTTCACCAGCGACGGATCCTCCTGCAGGAGCTTCCGCACCGCCGCGGCGTCGTTTTGATGTGCGTGCCACAGTATCAACGACGTGCGACTCACCCTCGCCTTCTCCTTGTCCTTCTGCTTTTCCGTGCTGCCTGAACTCATGGTTGTTCTGTTGAAAGTTGAAACTGATTGCTTTCGGTTAAGAAACCAAACGACGTGTCGGTTATTCTCCTCAATTTCAGCTTTGTATCCATACACTGTATTATAAAATTGACCCTCACGCGTTCCGATTCCTACTTTAGTGTGTCAAGGGCGAAGCATTTCCTTCCTCTTTAATTTCCTTATCTGCCTTTGGCTTGTGGGGTATATGCTTACTGCTTTGCCTTTAAAATTTCCAACTTGAGTGTGTCGGTTATATCTTTCTATTTTCGTCGGAAATGGATCCCTGTGGTAACATGTAAAAGATCATAATCATACAAAAATAAATCAATGGTTATCTCTCCTTCTTTATTATTATTGATTCACTTTTGTATGGTTATAATTTCACACCTAACGTGATCATGCAGAGGAACGAGATCCATTTTCGTCATTATTACCGGAACGGAAAACTGAATATGTTACTTGTTATAATTTAGTTTTCGGGAGTTATATTTATAAATTATTTATTTATAAATGAATTTAATTAATCAAAAATAAAATTCGAGTAGAATTAAGTTAAAAAATCAATTTGATTGCGATAATGAGTAAAATTAAGTTAAAATTTAAGAAACCAGATAATATGAATCAGGTTTTGGGTCAAGTCAAGCAACACCAAGCATACACATAATCTTGACCCTTCAAGCTCGAATTTACCCATGAATTTTTTATTATAAAATTAAGGAAAATACTATATTTATAAATTTTTTGTTTATATATTTTTACAAATTAACCTATGTATTTCAGAGAATACACAAAATATTTTCTGGAATATATAGTTTAATTTATAAGAATTTGTAAACAAAAAATTTGTAAATATAACTTTTTTCTATTATTATATGTAAATTGTTTTTATAAAGTCATCCAGTTTAATTAATCAATTTATGATTAAACTTGAACTGGAAATTTTATCTCTTGGCTGTCAATATCAATTTGGATATAATCACATTTTTTTGTGTATTAAGTAATGCTCGGTCATCATACTTAGCTGCCTCTTAAATTGATCACTTGTTCTCTACATATATATGCACCAAATCATGTCGATAAAATTCAGAATTTGGATTGAGGAGCTTTTGGCTTTATCGTAAGTGTACTTCTTTCAAATATTTGTCATTTATATTGTTAGAAATCTATGTTAGTATCATTATCTTTTTATATATTAATTAATTAATTATACTATATAGTGCGTCTAATATGGAAATGAATACTTAAGAGTTTAAAATAAAACTGCACCAAATGCAATTTAACTAACGAGTGAAAATTCTAAAACTTATATTTTAATTATTATTTTATCATAAAAAATAAATTAAAGTTGAGATCTTCTGTTGTTGAATTCTCAACTGTAAAAGACCATTATCCATCTAATATATGATATATTTTTTTCGAAAAGGATAAAATAATAAGATCAATGTCGATGTTTGAGTTCAAGACCTAAAGTGGAATTAACATGACTTTGCTTTGACATTTTGAATTATGCTGTGCCAATTAACTGTATGCTTAGGTTGTAGTCAAATAAGCGAATTACCAATTACTAATAATGATAGAATTGTATTTATTTATGAAGATTCTTTTTTTTTTTTTTTAGTAGGCTGATTTATGAAGATTCTTAGTACGTATATCTGAAAGTGTCAAGTTCCAAGGTATCCATATGTGCTTTAAAAATTACAGAACAGGGTCAAAGAGCGAAGGTAACGTAACGCTGCAAAAAACTGGCATGATGCTGATTGACGCTGCAATAATATAATTAGCTGCCAATTCGGTGCACCGGAACCTTGCGACGTGATGATAAGATTTCATTCAATTGTGCAATCTGAAGTAAGAGTTGGCTAATCTTCTGCACCAACAAAGTAATTAATTAGGATAACGCTATTTCATATTATGAACTTGTTTTGCAAATGAGAACGGATCATGCAATTAAAACTGCAATTAGAACTAGTAGAGTTTCATTCAAATTCCTAACATCAACAGCTGCACTTTATATAAAGAATCAATAGATTAACTGTCTTTTTGGATGGGCTTTTATTCTTAAGAAATTGTGTATATTTTAAATTTGGGACAAAGTTCTTTTAAAGTAAATAAGTTGAAAGTACTTTAAAAGAACTTTGTCCCAAATTTAAAATATACACAATTTCTGACCATTGGATTGCAAAATTCAGGAGATTCCTTACTATTCATTATTTTTATGAAAATATCCATACTCTTAATAACAAGTAGTTAATATTTGGTTGTGTTTTATTTAATAAAAACATCATTACAAAAATGATGTATTTAATTTTTAGAAAGGATGATATATAAATAAATATTACCAAATAATATTAAAAAATATTTGATATCCTCATAAAAAGAAACGATACCAAAAAAACTTCATATAAAATTAATTATTTCATTAATATACGTAAATTACTTTAGGCAAATTATAACACATTAATAAGCTTCATTATCTCCGGCCCACATTTTCCATTACTAGAAGGTATGAGGGTTTTAATACAGGAAAAAATGTTATAGAAAATTTCTAATTTTATGTCATGATATAATAAGTGTAAGATCCACCTATAATAAAAAACAGAAAAAAAATACCCCTTTTTATATAATGTCTGTTGGAATGATTTGTTTTTTCTTACTAAATGAGAAAAACAAATCCTTTTAAAATAAGAATAAAAATGAAATTATGTTACCAAAAATAACCTACTCATCAATCTATCATATATTTGGTTAAACTTATTCACAATAAATAAAATAAAATAAAATGCACATTGAATAACCCACAAAATTATAATTTTTATTGTAGGTCCTTCGCTTAAATAGCTTTAAATCAAAAAGGGTGATTATTTTACGGCAGTCACATTAAGTTTCTCGTGCAGTTGTTAAACCCGACCCGGCATCGATCCGGTCGGGGTACTGGGTCATTGATCGGGTCGGTTAATCCGGATATATATAGATATATAAAAATATATATAAATATGAACATATAAATTCAATTATATTCTTCATATTCAAAATGAATTAAACAATGTTCACTAAATAAGCTCAAAAATAGGAAGAATAAATAAATAAAAGTGCATGCTATTACTATATCAATTTAAATTGCAACTCAGAATTTCTATAAACATACCTCTCAATGACATTGAACTCATATTTTTGAAATTCAACTACATTAAAATGACATATATCACATTCTCTAATTTATTATTCCCTAAATTGCTTCAGTATTGGAAATTAAGAGGTCATTGTAGAAGAGTATACTAGCAAATAAAATTATAAAAAATTTTAAAAGTGAGTTTTATATATATTTTTGATAAGATGAAATGGTTTTGGTTTTTTTTTTTTTTTTTTTTAAATGCATGATCTGACCGGATCAACGGTCACCGGATTTGACCGGGTTTTGGCCAGGTCAATGCATGACCGGTCCAATGCTTGATCCAAATCGACCTAATAATCGGTTCACCGGATTCCGGATCGACCCGGCCGGGTCGGGCCAGATTTTACAACAGTGTTCTCATGTCATTACAACTGTGAATTTTGTTTTTTGTTTTTTTAATGTGAACGCATCATTAAATACGCCCAATATTTAAGGATGTTGTCAATTAGGTTCAGATAGGTCAATTTGGATTCAATTAGATTCAGGTTTGCTTAGATTTAATCAAATTTAATTTAGACTAATAAATTATTAGCTTAATTTAATCATTTACTGGCTATGGATTATATAAATTTACTTTTTAGCCAATATTTTCTTTTCTATTCTTAAAACTAGAGTAACAAGGCTTTTTGACCCTTATAACCCTTAATTAATAACTAATTACCAAATTGCCCTTCATTCAAAACTATTTCGAAAATTTACCCTCCCGACAAACATAACACCAATCTGTCCCTGTTTGACCGTTGACCACGAAGCCTACCCGGGTACACCATTACCTACCCGGGTAAATTTTGAAACTTTTTATCTACCCGAGTATGTAGGGGTGTACCCGGGTAGAGTTCTTGAATCTGGGAAAATGGTTGAATTATTTACCCGGGTAAGGAGCAGTGTACCCGGGTAAACATCGACGGTAGGGTTTTAAAATACCCCAGCAGCCCCATTTCGAAAACCCACAAAAGGGGTACCCGAGTAGAGCTGCTGGAGGAGTGTCTTCTTGAGCGATTTCAGGCATAATCTTGCACCAATTCGTCTTGTTTCTGATCATCATTCGCGGACCTTGCAACCTCTCTGCCTTCTACCGATTGAAATCGATCAAAGGTGCATTTTTTTTTCAGTTTTTTCAATTATGTTATGATTTCTGTTCTGATTCATTGTATTTTCGTTTATATCATTTGATTCTGTCCGAATTATTTTATCAATTTGTATGTCATACGCTTACCCTAACCCTGAATCTAACCCTAACCCTAACCCTAACATGTATCTAATTTCTGATTTTGGTTATTTTTTCAGTTTAATAGTGTGACACAATGACCTCTCGACGCGTTTCAAAGCTGCCAGTGACCCATTCCGAGAGAAGAACCAAGAGTCGTCACGATGGGTCGTCATCCTCTCAGCCCCAGGCTGGTTCGAGTCAGGCTCCGGACTTGACGTTCGGATATTTGTTTGAGGATGACATACCTTCACACGAGAAGTTCGTGAAGTTTTTCATGACCCGGAAGATCTGCGAACCGAAATCACTGGATTCGGCATTCTTCAACCTAGAGCGTTTTGACATTGTGCCGCTTCTTGAGCAGACACATTTACTTCACCTGGCGGAGATGCGGTGCCCATACTCGGAGGTTATGGTAAGAGCCTTCTACCAGAACCTTGGCTACTCGCAAGGCGAGCTGACTTCCCGTGTCTGCGGGATTGATATCATCATGACTGCTCCTATCTGGACGGAGCTACTGGGGTTCGATTTTGATGGTGTCACAGGAGCAGCACTATATGATGGAGACAGCCATCATATATTTGGTGATTATAACCGGGAGACCATTGTTACAGAGACTAGGAGGGCAGACGCTGAGCCCGGTCATTTTGCTCATTATCCTGTTAGCAACTTGTCAGTTTCTGCTCGCATTCTTCATTATGTGGTGATACATATTATTTTCCAGCGCCCGCATAATCACTCAAAGGTGCTGGAAGGGGACTTTGTCATCCTGTGGGCCCTCCTTCACAGTCAGCAGGTGAACTGGAGGC